GGAAAAAGAATTTTTCAAATCGTTCCAGTAGTTTTGGAGCCTATTCGAAACAAACAAACAAACAAATCTTTCCTCTTTATAATATTAGTATAGATAATTGAACCTCGTATCTCCTGAGCTGTAACCTCGTTCATACATCTGTCAATAGAAGAACTAAACTTCTACACGGTTTTAATCGTAAAAAATCTCGATATTTTAATCATGCCTTAATTAAATTTTTAGAGAACTTCGTATATCTACAGTATCAAACAATAAAACAGCTTAAAGAGAATCGTTTAAGGTGCTATGAGCTATGTTATTTTTTGACACTTCACCAGCATTGAGTAGCACTAAACACACTACAAGTTACGTACGTATAAAATTTGAAAAAATCCGAAAATATGCGCATCGTAACTTGTATCTATGAGTCTATGACCACTATATTTAAAAATAAAATTATACACTAATTTATTTTATACTAGCTGACCCGGCAGACTTCGTAGTGCCTCAATCGATAAATAAAAGACCTAAACTTTTGTATAAAATAAACTTAAACCAAAAAAAGGAAAAACAAAATTGTTATTTATATTTAATTCTGAGCAATTTCATATTTATCTACCTTTTAAACCTTCTCTGGAGTTCCATAAATAATATAAGACCAAAATTAGCCAAATCGGTCCAGCCGTTCTCGAGTTTTAGCAAGACTAACGAACAGCAATTAATTCTTATATAATAATATAAAGATTTAAATGATTGGTTGATTGTTGATTTTCAGATAAAGTTTAATTATACATATTTTTTGTTTGAGAAAGCTTATATTCAGTGGTTTTCACAAACTATTCTTTTTACGAACAAACAAAGATTAAAATCATTTATTAATAGAGAATTTCAAAAACCCATTCTTCATTCACGTTTTAAGCTTTGAAATGACAATCTTAGCCTTTCAATTACCAACAATCGTCAAGATTAATAATTTGAGATGTCATTCTGAAACATCTTTCATTTTCCACTGGCCGCGAGAATATTCATAAATTACTTCTATTCCCCATCAATACTTACGTTAATGGTTCACGTTCGCTACAGTTATCCATCCCCTAGGTTATTATGCTTTGACAGTTATTGTCCAAGTTTCCTCTCAGCCAAAATGTGACCTATTCATAATGATTGAATCTGCATCTCTTTCGTACACATTCGGAAAGAGAGAGAGAGAGAGAGAGAGAGTGATGATTATATATTACATACAGGTGGATAATTTTAGAACTCTATAGTTTCGTTGATGGAAACCACTTATTAAGGGTTCCTCGGTTGTAGAATGTACATATTCCAATTGTAAAATTTAATGTAACTGCATTTGATAAATTTTTTTAAAACAAGAACTGTTTTTGACATAACCAAATTATTTTGAAACGTAAAGATCCTATAGACACAAAAAAAAATTGCATCTAAGAATGGTTAGCTCATATCATATTTTGATTAAACTTTTAAATAGTCTTACTGATAAAATTAAACTTCATATATTTCAAACAATAGAGCAATCAAAACAAAAAACGCATCAATATTTTAATATAATATAACATGGTACAAATTAGGTAAATACGGCGAAAACCTTCCGAAACAGGAAACCAAAATTCATTTGAGTAAAGGGTCGGCCGATAAAAAACGTTAATAGGCAGTTTTCAGGTGAAACAAAGGTTCGCAAATGGCTAACGGTCGCTTCCGTTCGCTCTATGTATCGGATACCCCGCCAACGTACAGGGAGGAGGAACAATCAAAGAGTACATTTACGTAGACACGACAATCAGAAACAAACTTCTCCTATAACGAATATTTTTGACGGCTTTGATGTTCATCAGAGTCACAGAAGAATCTATATATTAATACTTGAAGCAAAAACTTTGTATCCCTTTTAACGAAAATTGCGCCGACGGAGGAGTATGAAATTTTCCACACTTATAGAGAATATAGAGAAGTGCACAATGCTATTATTTTTAAAAAATAATGCATAAAAGATAGATAAAATCAATAAAGAAAACATTACACACACTACATACCATGTATTTGACGCACACATGCATGCATACTATTTATTGTCAAACTTTTGTTCTTGACGTCTGTTGTCAAATTGAAAATAGATTAAATATTGTTTGTCTTTGTTAATATTTTTTATAGTGTAGTCATGGCGAAATTTGTGATTATAGAAGTATAAAATACAATCATAATAGTGTACAAACTTACAACTCCAATTATTTATAGTCGAATTTCGACTACTGCGGGACCTCTAGTTAAATTAATACTTTGTAAGATGCTTAAAAAAGTAATTTCTACTACAATTATTGCACTTAGCTTGTGGACTACGCAATACGTTTTTTATAAACCACAGATACGCCAGGCTTTGCTTACAACATTCATTAATTGATATCAGAATATATTTCATTTATTTTATAAAAAAAGAGTTTATAGTAACTCTCTACAAGTTTGATAACTAAGTGCATTCTATATACAGATTTAAATATATGTATATATATAAAGATTTTCCTACCATTACAACCAACCAAGAAACAGCATTTACAAAATTTTAGAAAAACCAATAATATAGCGATCTAGTCACATGTTTTCACAAATATTATAGCTTTACATACCTCGAACTAATTAAGTTTATATTCAATTTCCGTGGTTAGCGTAGTATGGACATGTGATGCGTAGAGAGAAGATGCAATTGACTAGGAGATGTATGGAAATGGTAGTGAAAGGTAAAGGGGGAAGAGGTCGACCGAAGAAGAGATGGATGGAGTTTGTGAATGACAATATGAGAGAGAGAAGAGTGAGTGTTGAGATGACGGCTGATAGAAGAGAATGGAAGAGAAAAATTAGTTGTGCCGACCCACCTAGTGGGATAAGGCGGAGAAAAAAGAGATTCATTTTTTTACTGGTGGTGAGTCCGCACGGATAGGTACCACTACTCTGCCTATTTCTGCCGTGAAGCAGTAATGCGTTTCGGTTTGATGGATGGGGCAGCCGTTGTAACTATACTGAGACCTTAGAACTTATATCTCAAGGTGGGTGGCGCATAAACGTTGTAGATGTCTATGGGCTCCAGTAACCACTTAACGCCAGGTGGGCTGTGAGCTGGTCCACCCATCTAAGCAATAAAAAAAATTCAATTTCTGTATTAAGGATTTTATTTATTTATTTATTTAACTTAATGCACAGAAGTGCAATAGCGGACTTAATGCCTGAGGCATTCTCTACCAGTCAACCAAGGGTGGCGTAGAGAATGCTGTGGTAGGTGAATAACTTAATGTGAAAATAACCAAACTGATAATAATTCTTCTTCTTCTTAGTCGTACAGGTGGTCAAGTTGATGCTGTCTTTACTGATTTCAGTAAGGCATTCGACCGCATCGATCACACGATTCTGCTACAAAAGCTCTTTAATGCTGGAATTCATGGTAGTCTCTTCAGGTGGTTTTCTTCTTATGTTGAAAATAGATCACAAAAGGTTGTGGTCAACGGACATGCTTCTTCCTGGGGAGGAATCCCTTCTGGTGTTCCTCAAGGGTCTCTGCTCGGCCCGTTGTTGTTTAATATCTTTATAAATGATATAGGTACATGTTTTCGATCTTCAGACTTCCTCTTGTATGCGGATGACATGAAAGTTTATAGAAAAGTTAACTATTCCAATGATTGTCAGAGGATACAGGAGGATCTTTTAAGGCTCGAGGAATATTGTCATCTTAATAAATTAGACCTTAACGTTTCGAAGTGTTTTGCCATGACCTTCACTCATAAGACCACACCTGTTAAGTTCACATATCAGCTTATAGGAACCAATCTTGCAAATGTAGATGAATTTTGCGATTTGGGGGTAACACATGATCGGAAACTGTCTTATGAGAAGCATATAGACAATATAGTGAAAAGAGCCTACATATCATTAGGTTTTATCAAGCGGCTTGGTGCGCAATTTACTAGTGCTAAAATTTTTAAGGTGCTGTTCTGTGCATATGCGCGCAGTATCCTAGAGTATTGTTCGCAGGTATGGAATCCGCGATATAAAATTTATATAAGTAGATTGGAGACTATACAGACCAAATTCATGAGGTTTCTTCAATTTAAAACTAAAGTGTATGATCCCGACTACGAGACGAGATGTAGAAGGCATCACATACTTCCACTGGAGGAAAGACGTAGGATAGCTGATATTGTTCTTTATAGTAAAATAGCTCAGTCTGAGGTGGACTCGTCTTATCTTCTATCGTTGTTATGTTTAAGGGTGCCCCCGAGATCCATAATGCGCGAGAGCCGTCAATCATCTCGTCTCGGAGTACCTCGTGGTGGTACAAATTACAGACGTAATGCATTCTTTATAAGAGCTGCTAACAGTTTCAATGCTCTAGCTGATTTCCCTGAACTGGACATTTTCAACACTTCTACTAAGAGTATTAGGAGAACATTAGTCAGTCGATGGTTGAATGCAAATATTTAATTAATTATTTTCTATTTACTACGTTTTTCTGTTTTTTTCTCAAATTGTTTTGTTTGTGTTTTTGAATTACGTTTTACTTTAATTATTTAATTCTAGCCGATGCGCGCCCCAATCGTTTGTAGTTATTTAAATGCGGAGACATTTAAATGGTGTTTAGTTCTAAGGTTAGAATTTATATAGTTTAAGTTCACTGTTTGTCTTCCTAATAAAATAAAATAAAATACTTCATTGCTGAAGGTCGTGTCCCTGAAAGCCCTTCGTGGCTCTTTGTACCATCAGCTTCCATTTGCTTCGGTTTTCGGCTTCTCTTAGGGCAATCGCAACAGAGAGTCCAGTGAGCGCAGTTATCTGATCATATACAACATAACGGTATATATAATATAATATACATATAATCACATACAACATTTTTACAACTTTTTACATGACTATCAGATCGTTTTTGTCCCTTCTGCCGCATTACGAATCTATAATTTTCGCGTGCTGTTCGCAAAAGCGGCGCCGCGCAGCCATTCACGGCCAGTGCCCCGCGCGCAGCGATCCTCCTCGCCCGTTCGCGTCCGCTCAAACTCGCCCCCGAATACATTTGCATATCACTATACATACCCCCTTTGTTCTATTTCTATGCTGTTTTCATTACAAAGACTTTAACAATCAGTTTTATACGATATTTCGAGGCATGAGGTCGCTTTTCGGTTAGCTCGTGGACCGCAGGTGAGGAATACATTTTATTTTCAATTATTTACCATTCATAATTAATTACTAGGCTAACAAAAGTATTGTCAATAACAAAATAGGTAACATTAACAAGATATTTATGTGATCCGTCAATAATTATTTGAGTTATTTTAGATGAATCAGAAATGAATTATGGTTATATATTTATGTCCATTTTTTTCATGTTTGATTTCCGTCACCAACACATGATGTTCTATTAGACCAAAATCCGAACAACTACATAATATTACGAATGTTAAATTTTTACTTTTTTACTTTTAAATTTAATTAAATACGTAATAATAAGTAAATTTAATTTAGTTGGTGCTAAAGCAATACAAAATATATTCTGCAGAATAATTAGTATTATCATACCGAATATAGAGCGTTCAGTAACCGTGCACAATTTCCGAAAGCTACATAGATCTGTTGAGACAACAAGCTACAAACTATTGTAGCTGCGCCAAATTATACCTTTGACTAGCTACTAGCGATAATAATTATTTAAATGAAATTATTGTTACATCATTTTTCACTAACAAACATTTATTAATTTTATTTTATCTATATATATATATAAAAATGAATTGCTGTTCGCTAAAACTCGAGAACGGCTGGACCGATTTGGCTAATTTTGGTCTTGAATTATTTGTGGAAGTCCAGAGAAGGCTTAAAAGGTAGATAAATATGAAAATGCTTGGAATTAAATAAAAATAACAATTTTGTTTTTCCTTTGATGTGTCCCCCGTCGGACGGATTCCTTTGGTTTGTTTTAAGTTTATACAAAAGTTTAGGTCTTTTATGGATTGAGGCACTACGAAGTCTGCCGGGTCAGTTAGTTGTTCATAAAAATCCAAATCGCAAAGTATTCTTATTTATTTATCATTAAACATTAGACTTTTTACAAACATAATTCCCATTTATTTTGATCTTTATTGATAAGACGTGAAGTAATTATTTCAAAAATAAAACGTGAACTCGTCATGCATAAAAATATAATTAGGATTTTAGGATAAACAATTTATCCTGTTATTTTCACAACCATTATTACCACAATTATTGTTTCCTTGATGATTTTTTTATTTAGTTAAATGAAATTTGTATCTTTTTCCTATAAACCGTAAAACAAAGGAACGACATTTCAAATTTAAAACTAATTAACGTCTAACGAAAGACCTTTATTTATCAAATAACTAAAACAACAGGTTGCGGGATAACTTTCCCACTACAAAATCAAATTCACTTCCCGGACCAATGAAACAATAATTAGCGGAAGGAACGGCGGCTTCAATGCGTCCGACCGCCATGCTACTAACAATGCCAATATATTGCTTAGTAATATAATGTTATTGTATTATACTAGTTGCTGGAACTGTGAACCTACAACTGTAGATGCCACTACACAGTCTGCTTCGGCCGCGAGGTAATGAGCCGTTCGGTGTGGTGGATAGGAAGTAAATCAACCATTAATGAATAGCATTTCGGTGGGCAGCAGCTTGGCTCTGCCCCTGGCATTGCTGATGTCCATGGGCGACTGTAATTACTCACCATCAGGCGGGCCGTATGCTCGTCTACCTACAAGGGAAATAAAAAACATTTATTATTTCGGCCTTAAGTTCCAAGCGGGTGACGGCATTCAAAGCGCATCGCTTAAGGTAATACAGTACGAATTTTTTTAGCTTTCCACTAAATACTTTCAGTTTACAGTTTCAATAATGAATAAGATACGCACGCCACTGCCCTACAGGGTGTATCAAATTCGTGACTGTCTGAAAAGCGGGTGCGCTGCTGTGTTCCGATTTAATTACGGTGCTTAATTTTTCTCCCCAATTAACAGTCAAAGCCTCTTCGGCTCCACGAAGCTATTATTCCTTTTATAAACGCTACGCTGGCGAAATTTCGAAGAATTCAAACTGGAATAAATGTTTTTTCGGTTACAATCATCTGTCGTATTACTTTCCGCACACTCTGTTAGTCTTTATTAGAATTCTCAGTAAATGAAAATGCAAAATTGGAACTGGACGATAATTAATTTATTTATTTGCTGATTATATTACTGCGTTTTGAAGTCATGGCAAAAAATCGATTGACGTTGTAATGTCTAAGGTCTCTCCCATAATTATTTATTACGAAGTGGATTCTGACCTTGTTCACCTAGCTACGCATTTAACAAAAACAATAACAATGATAAACGATAAAGATTTCCCAAAAGTAGCCTTACATTCAAGTACAAGTGATATTTGCGAATGGCTACGAAAGCGTAGAGGCCGCTACGAATCTCTATTTTGTAGCATTGCTTCATGATTTTTGCCAAGCCATTCATTTTTTTCTATAATCTTTCTCACTGTCATCGGCCATTCATTTTTAGTCTAAGTCTAATTAAATAACAACAGTATCCCTAAAATAAAATTGATCGGTATTAAATAAGTTTTCCTCCCAATTTCATAATCTCCACCCAATCCCATAAGCTAAATTTTTTTCTTACTTCATTTATATTTGAAAACAAAGCATTTTCGAAGCCAGACTGGGTGGGAGCTAATTGTTAGTACACAGACCAGCAGACAAGCCCATTATCTAGTAAGTGAATTACCGGCGGAGCGCCGACCGAGTGGTGGCACAGTGAGGGAGGCGGAGGAAAATGCTCCGACGCTTTACTTGTCTGGATGATGTTGGAAAATTCATTGAACATTGCTTTCTGTGTTACCGTCTAGACTTATGAAACGGAAAGATAAAGCGAAATGTACGGAGCGCCGTCAAATATTCACACCTATTCTGTAACTAATGTAGAAGATGGTTCTAAAACGAAAATATGGGTTTGTTATTTGCTGAATTAAGTATAAATAAAACATAAATTGTTTATGTAATAAAACATAAATTGTTTATGTTTTTATAAGCTCCATCAAAAACAGAATTGTTCATTTATTTATTTAGTGTAGCTTATGGGTATCTGAAATATCGCGGGGAATAGCCTTGTCGCATTCTTGATATGCAGCGTTCGAAGAAGAATCAGTAATCATTTAATTATTATTGAATAAGTCCGAACATAACTCGGTAGATATTCGTTTGTTTATTTTATATAATTAATATTACATTGATTTGGTTCAATGAAAAAACTCTACTCTCAATGTCTATCAAGTCTACCGAAATCACAAGTTGCAAGTCTACATGACGATTGAATGTAGCCATGTCTACCGAAGACATTTAGAAAATAAAATATAAAGTAAAATAAATTGCGCAAAAAAAACCTTGTCACCGGATTTTCATAACCACTGAACACACTAAGTGGGCTGTGAGTTTATTTACTCATCTTCCCAATAAAAAAAACTAAAGCCGATTTAAACTTAACACAATTAAAATTAGCGGTTAAAATGAATTATGTATTGAATTCGCCTTTGAAAATAAATAGCTACTTCAAAATACAGATTACCTTCATTTATGAATAGCACGAAAAATCCATAAACAATTGGCAAAGTACAATCGTAGAGTAAAGAGCACATTGAAGTGAACAAGGCAGTATGAAGAGCGCTCTGTACAGTCGAGCTCTGTGGCCCTTTCGAATGCGGGCCTCTCGACTCGCTGTACGACCACTTGACCTCCCCTGCACAAATTAAGAATGCTTCCCTTATAATTGTAAGCCTATGAGGATTTGGCCTCATTCCTGTGCCTCATTCTCACATCTCATTATGAGGCAACGTAATACACGCCTTTTAATCCGTGATGAGTATTTAATGACCAATATATAAAGATAAAATGTTTTTTTCTTTTCGTTATAGAACCAAAACGCAAATTATATGATTACTGTCCTAAGTCTATGAGGATTTGGCCTCATTTTCACATCTGATTATGAGGCAACGTAATACACGCTTTTTAAGCTGTGATCCGTGATCGAGTATTTAGTGACCAATATTTAAAGATAAAATGTTTTATTCTTTTCGTTATAGAACCAAAACGCAAATTATATGATTAGTGTCCTAAGTCTATGAGGATTTGGCCTCATTTTCACATCTGATTATGAGACAACGTAATACACGCTTTTTAAGCTGTGATCCGTGATTGAGTATTTAGTGACCAATATTTAAAGATAAAATCTTTTATTCTTTTCGTTATTGAACCAAAACGCAAATGGCATGATTAGTGTTTTTTAAAGCCATAAACAAACACCACAATGATAAACAAGAAACATGCTTTCTATGGCGCGTTTCAGTGTTACCATACTACTGGACAACTAGAGATAAAACCAGCGGAGGCTAAATGTTAGGTAGACGTTCAGTCGCAAAACTAATGTCAAATCCCTATGCATCGTGATAAGAAGAGGATATGCTGCGCCGTCTCCAAATTGTGTGGCATACGGACAAGAAAAAGATGACTGGGGCGTATTATGATTTAGTACAATTAACACCATTCTCTCTATTTCTTTTTTTTTGGATGTGTGATTACTGGTGGCCCTGAGGCCTTTCCTGTTTCACTAGGACAGGCGGACGAGCAAAGGCTCAGCCAGGAGGGGTAGGATTTGCTAACAGCGCATCAGAAGGACACCTAACAACTCAAGAGCAGCTGCTTCGCGAATGATTCTACTACCGAAATCGCGACCCACTGAGAAGATCCGACGAGAAACACAGCGGGCTAATGCATGGGTTAAGTTGCTCGTCGAACTCTTTGTCGAGTTCGACGAGTACGGTTACGGGGGTCCCCAACACTACTTCTAGTGTTAGAGCTGAAGACGTTTAATGTAAAAATTATTGGATCTGATGGATCTGTAAGGACGTGCTTTCTATTTCTACCACGAAGTAGTCTGTGTTGCAATTTGGAACTTATTTTTCCAATAAAACCATTAAAAGAAAACGGTGGAGGGCTATCAAATGTAACCTTAATTTCCTGAATATTAAGCAAAAGCGTTTTATCAAGTTTGAGCATTTCAAATTCGGTCCAAACGACACCAGCGCTTAACTTAGTTAAGGTCTCGTTCAAAATAATTGAGTTACATCCCGCCCGGCACC